CGGACGCTTTTCCAGAAGAGATCTTCCGAAAAAACGTCTTCCATAAGATTGCATTCACATTGCCAAAGCACATCAAGAATGAGATCTGCTTTTTCGAAAGAGAGCGTCCATTCAGTGTGGATGCTATCTAGCATTTAAACTGTGATTACTATGGATGGAGTGGCCACCAGGGCACCTGTGCTTTTTCCTCTTTCCTCTTCTTCCGAAAGAACTCCCTGTTTCCTGTCCACAAATGCCTTTTTCTGAAAGAGCTCTTTTGGAAAAAGGCTTCTTCCTTGTAGAAAGAGGATTACCAATGCTAGAAAGACCCCTGTGTTCTTTCGATTTTCTTTTGGAAGAATGCAATTGAAGTGTGGACGTAATTGAAGTTTTTCCCAAAAAACTCTGTAGTGTAGACGTACCCTTAGGGTACGGCTACACTTGCTCCCTATCTCGCTATAGGGATGCAAATGTAATGTATCGAAATTGCTAATGAAGCATGGGATTTAAATATCCTGCGCTTAATTAGCATAATCGCATCCGGGCGCCATTTTGAAATTGCGTTATTGTGAAATAAAACGCCCCGTGTAGCAGCGTGAGAGAAAACCCTTCTCAGTAGGAATAACAGTTATTTTGAGAGAAGGGTCTTCTCTCAAAATAACACTGCTACATGGGGCGTTTTATTTCGCAATAATGCAATTTCAAAATGTCACCCGGAAGCGATTATGCTAATTAAGTGCGGGATATTTAAATCCCATGCTTCATTAGCAATTTCGGTACACTACATTTGCATCCCTATCTCAAGATAGGGAGCAAGTGTAGACGTTCCGTTAGAGACTAACAAAAATATATATCATATGATGAGCTTTTGTGGGCAAAACCCACTTCTTCAGATGAGCTGGAGTGGAAATAACAGAACTAAGATATTTATAATGGGGGGGAGGAGGTACCTGTGAATTGTAAGACTGGTGCTAATGAGTCTAATGAAGTGGACTGGAAGTGGACAAATCTTAGCTTTTGATGTAAAAATGCAGTTGTCAGAGGCAGTGGAAACTGGCTTTATAATGCGACATGCAGTTAATGTCTTTGTTCAAGCCCAAGAAAACAGTGTCAAATGTGTGGCTGAATTCCAGTTCCACTCTCTCTCTCTGTAATTGGCCAGTGAAATTCTTTTGTAGAAGAACAGCTACTTTTACATCCATGACTGAGTGCCCAGGCAGGTTAAAATGTTCCCCTACAGGTTTATGTGTGTTACCATTTCTGATGTCTGATTTGTGTCCCTTTATCCTTTGTCACAGACTGTCCAGTTTGGCCAACATACATGGCAGAGGGGCATTGCTGGCACTTGATGGCATATATCACATTAGAGGATGTGCCCCTGATGTTTCGGCTTATGTGGTTAGGTCGTATGATGGTGTCGCTTGTATAGATGTGTGGAAAGAGTTAGCCACGAGGTTTATTGCAGGAGTAGGTTCCTGGGTTTGTGTATCTGAGGTGTGATGTGTGGCTACTAGAAAGAATTTGCTTCAGATTGGGAGACTGTCCGTAGGCGAGGATTGGGCTGTCACCCAAGGCTTGTAAGAGCAAGGTATCATTTTCCGGGATAGGTTGTCGATTGTCAATGATGTGCTGGAGGGGCTAAGTTGGGGGCTGTAAGTGATGACCAGTGATATTCTATTATTTTCCTTGTTGGAGTAGATTTCTGGGTACTTGTCTGGGTCTGTCAATCTGTTTCCTCACTTCCCCAGGTGGATATTTAAGTTTTAAGAATGCCTGATAAAGATCCTGTAGGTGTTTGTCTCTGTGGGTATGTCTACACTACCACCCTAGTTCTAACTAGGGTGGTAATGTAGTCAATCGGAGTTGCAAATGAAGCCCGGGATTTGAATTTCCTGGGCTTCATTTGCATATTGCCGGGCGCCGCCATTTTTAAATGTCCGCTAGTTCGGACTCCGTGCCCCGCGGCTACACGCGGCACGAACTAGGTAGTTGGGACTAGGCTTCCTATTCCGAACTACCGTTACTCCTCGTTC